ATAATTATTTAATATATTTTCTGTGTCTATGCTCTATTACTGTCAGAGACTAATGGTTGGATATTTTGCAAAATGCAAAGTTTATTGATAAAACGTTTAATAGAGATAGGATCATTATATAAATATGCATTATAAATTTAAAAAATCATTTTTTTTATTTATATTTACATAATACATTATAATTGTGTATGCAGTAAACAAATGTGCGACAACGACTTTGCAAACTGGAATATGCAATATTATTTTATGGTATACATATATCAGAATTGTGAGAATTCAAATGATAATGTTATAGTTGAAAAATATATTTATTGCCACAATAATTTATTTATATTGCATAACTTGTCCCTTTTAATCTGATCTAAAACAGCTGTCAAGTTTTCAATCTTGTCTATCATTACTTGCAATTTATGTTCTTGTGTTTTTAGCAGTTCAGTCGCTTCGGAAAGATTTTTTTCAAACATTGTTGATTGTTTGTTTGTAAAAGACTGCAAATCTGGAATTTTTATTGGCTTTACAAGAACCTTGGCCATCTGCAACAAAATACACTGATAATGTCAAAATAAAAAATACGATATAATAATAATAGTTCAACAAATAATACCTACAGATATCTCATTAGTAAGTTTGATGCAATTTTCCAGTTCTTTTGCGCATTGCAGTGGGTATCTTTCCCGAGCATCACAGACTTCAAACAATGCATCTTCGCACTGTTGTTCTAGGTCATCTAAATTCAAGATCGATAACATCATAAACAACCAAACAAAGTCATCTTCAATATAATGAAGTGCAGCTAAAACACACCTACCCATTTCTGAATATACAGTTGTGTTTTCACACATGATATGTATTATTTCATATTTGTAAACTCTCGCTCTAATAAGAATCTCTCTCTTTATAGTCTTCTTTTTCTTCTTCTATATGGCTGATTAGGTTTCTATGTAGAATTTGCCTATACGCCAGTCGGTTCTCTTTATAGTCTGAGAAAGAAACATAAACAAATGTTATAAAAAGTATCTTTGCATGTATGTATGTCAAATGACTTTACATGATAAAAGATGCTTAAATCGCAGAATGTCAACATGTCAAAAGTGTGAAGGGTCATAATTGGAGTTCTTTTCCAGTTATGACATGAATAATTTCACGCAACGATACTTTGATTTAACTCGATTCAAAAGTCAGTGGAGTTCGTTACACCTATGATCATATGATTCGATTTCTTTTGTCGCCATATGCATAAGATTTCTGAACGAGCGTGATATGAATTACAAGAATTTACCGATTAATCGTTCATATTATCATAATTGTAGATAATTTTTAAAAGTACCGAAATATATAAGAAAACTGTGTATTTAGAATACTAAAATATACACTTATTTCACAGACAGTAATTTTGGCCGATAAGTTGCCTGAACTGGGCCGCCAAGGAAAGTTACGCATGCGCGTAATCATCTGTATACATACCATACGCTTGACGAACAAATAATGGACAAATATATCAGATGTATCGCAAAAATAATGTTATTGGACAAAATAATTAATGTAAGAAAATTTTAACATGTTCATTATACATTCCGATTTTTTTTCGGAGATAATAAATGTTGATTTCTTTGATCATGATTTAAAGCTAACTGTTCGACCCGTCTTCATCTGAATGAATAAGCATATGATTAAGAAGCAAAGGTTCTGTGTATATATAGTATGTATTAAATTGACAAGCACGAAAAAAAATATACAGTTTTGAAACTTTTAATTATTCATTAGCAACCCGGATTGAACCGGAAGCAGAATCGATAACCGTTCCATGACCGCTTTTTTAATAGAATCGAAACGCGTAAACCGTATTGAAATTCTATTAAATTTATAAGTGCCGGTCTACAATAGGTGATTAAAGCCCTAAGCTTTAAGAAATTGACTAATCACAGTCGAGTATTCTCCTCATACTTGATTGTGATTGGTAATTAGAAATTATGATTTATTAGAAAAAAGTTAGAAAAACAATAATTTGAAAAGAACTGGAACCGTAACCGAAAAAAATTTAAACGGTTCGGGCTTCCTTTATTTATCAAGGAACCGCTTGTATTTTATTTCCATAAAATATTTTACATTACTAATTTTGTCGTTTTCTTAGCTGGGTGTCATCAGAAAATAATAAACCTGATGAAAATAAAATTTTCAAAAAGTCAAAAATGGAAGAAATAATGAATAAAAAACAATAAACTAAAAAGGTATCGAAAAGAACTGTAAACTGAAAATAATTTAATGGTCTGGTTATGGTTCCGTTAGTGCCGGTTTTTTTCGGTTACGGTAAGCCCTCTTTTCAAATTTTTTTTTCAAATCAATTCTTTCAAATCAAATTATCTATAAAATATATATATTAGAAAAAAGTTAGAAAAACAATAATTTGAAAAGAACTGGAACCGTAACCGAAAAAAATTTAAACGGTTCGGGCTTCCTTTATTTATCAAGGAACCAAAACTGAAACCGGAACATTTATATTAAATATTTTATTAAACTATAACCGAAACCGAACCCTAATAATTTTGTTTCGGTCCGGGTCCCTGTTCATTAGTCATGATGCACGAATATCTAGATGCGACGCGTGCACTCTAACTTCGTGCAATAACTGTACAAACTTCGTATGATAAGGCAGTGGGATAAGAAAGAAAGTTTGATAAACAGTGGTCAGGGGTCAGAGGCGCGTGTAGTATTGTTCGATATTACGCAGGATCGTTTAAATCACATTACTTTATAATCACGTTCAGACAAATTTGCATAATTACATAAAACATTGCATAGCATATACATCGAGAATCAAATAATCATAAACCTGTAAAAAAATTGTATTGATATTGTATTATCTATACTATATATACGTGATTGATTTTACTTTTCCTTGCTTTACAAGAGGCTATCCGTCTGAAGAAATCTCATATTACATGACGATGCGCGTTGCTGCTGACAAATGGCTTGTGCATCGTGCATTTCGGCCGATGATATCGCTAAACATTGGATGAGTTGCGATTTTGAAATAAATGGCGTTACGCGGTCTATTGCAGCAGTCACCTTCGTGTCATGATTCACGCATAGATATCACGAATAAAAGATGGATATTACCTATCGCCATTATATATCCGAATGCCGTTATTCGCGCATCGCAGAGACGCTTGGAACGTCTATCGTTGAATCCAGTCAGTTTTCTCAATCCTCGCGGAGCCATTGTCAAGGACAGCGGGCCGTTGACAACGTCGATGCTTTCCACGGAGTTTTTCGGAAACAACTTTTCAAAACGCAGTTATTTCACGACAAATATTTCATAACAGTGTCACGCGGAAGATAAAAAACGAAATTGGGTCAAGAGGGAATAAAACAACGAGAGTATTATATTGTCATTGAAGGGCAATATTACACGCGCCTCTCTGGACTCTGACCTGTTTATCGAACTTTCTTCTCCGCTGCCTTCGATACTCGAGGACGAAGAAACGGTGTAATTATCCTAGAAACGCTCATCAGCGAGATGGGTTATCTGAAGTCGGCCGGCACCGCCGTCATCTACATCGGCCTCTTTTTGGCTGTCATCACATTTATTCCCGGTTTACCACCGGACACGGAATTCCGGGAGTACAGGTATATATTATATTTTATATTCAATATATATTAACACTGTGTTGTCCACACGTATCCAGCTGCGCGGATCGCGGACAGCTCATCAGCCGTTTCTGGCCTTCTTACCGTTCTTGATCCTCGGGCTCTTTACAGTTTTGTGGAACCGCGCGATGTAGACCCTAAACTAGGCCCGAAGAATCGATTGAGCAATGCCCAAAGGCTGTTCGAAGGCAAATTTCTCGGTCCGGAAGCGTTGGCTGTCTACAACGGTCAACTCTACACCGGCGTTTACGACGGTTACATTCTGAGGATCGAGGAGGACGACTTTGTACCGGTTGCCAAATTTGGCAAAAAGTGCGGTGAGTTGTGTGTGTAAGAATAGATATATACACACACAGGCGATTTACCGTTCGATATTATCGATAAATCGGACAGATTTCTCGGCCAAGTTTAAATCATGTACGGTTCATTACATAGATGTACCATCATCATTACTAGAGAAAGAGAGTATGAGAGAGATAGAGAGAGAATATTTTCTATAATCTCTAATCTATATAAATATATTGATAAGTATATTTTAAATTGGATAAAATTTATTATTTTTTTTTTTAATTAAAGATGTATCTTAAATTGAATGAAATATTTAGTATAAGTTTAAAAGAGAAAAATGGAATATATATATAAACACGAACGATATCTTGTTGACAAGTAAATTAATCTCATGACGATTAATGTATTAATAAACTGATTATATATCGTGACAATCAAGTATCGGCCGATACATTATTTTGTAAGCATATTACTAAATTCTCGTAACAAAATTTTTCAAAGTGGATTCACGATCAATATTGAAATAAATCGATAAATTGCGTTAAATTACATATATACTTGATAATAAATAGTTTCTCTCGATCATGAATTAACATTAATAACTTTATTTATATACTTGAACTTTGTCTATCTCTTTAACCTTCTATTTTACTGGAATGAGAAAAAAATAGATGAAGTGATAAACAAGTATCAAAGATTAACTCGATAAACATTAAAGATTATGCATGTATAATTCATTTAATATAGTGTTCATAAGCAATATTAGAGAATATTCTGCGCGATTCTTCTAAAAAAGTTCGACAAATGTGTATATAATATATTTATTATTGAAAATATTTACTATATTTATTTTCTTATATAAAAGTACTTATATTTATGGTTCCGTTAGTGCCGGTTTTTTTCGGTTACGGTTCCAGTTCTTTTCAAATTTTTTTTTCAAATCAATTCTTTCAAATCAAATTATCTATAAAATATATATATATATAAAGAAAATAAGAAGTAAATTTAATAAATTCTGCATTTATTAATTAGAAATTATGATTTATTAGAAAAGTCTTAAAAATGTTTCAAACATAAGTTAGAGATAAAAAAATATGATCAACATAAACATTATTTTAAAAAATTAACACGATTATTATTTAACAAAAGAATTAACATAAATCTGTAAGTTACATATAGAATAATATGATCAATACATAAATAATCTTATTTCAAAATTTTAACACAATTTTTATTTACCAAAATAATGTAAATCCAAAGTTTTGAAAAAGAATTGAAAATATTATAGTTTGAACAAAACTTTTCTGTATGTCGTGAACTTCTTGGCATCTTTTACAACTTAATTTTTATTAGCGATACCGATGAATCTGCTATTGTTTATGGTCATTGTTTACACTTATAAAAGCAAGAAACGGATTAATGCGTTTACGTTCATCCACAGCTATTTTATTCTTTATTTATTCTATATAACTGTACATCTGAAAAGACTAATCAAACATTTTGTAATTTGAATATTGTTGTAAAGAAAAAGAGCTTGTTATATATTAGAATCAATTCTAAAGTATTTTATTTTATACATTATCTTTAATATTGGTTTTTAATCTTATACTTATTTCATAATATGTCACAAAGACAAATTTTGTATCTATTTAAAAATTTTTAGGTGAACATTATAATATATGTTGATAATAGTTTCTGTTACAATATTATGACAATAATTCGAGGACGATAATAATTATTACGATAATAATTAGAGGATTATTAAGAACTAATATTTGAGATGTCAGTATTAATTAATGTAACATAATTGTAAAGTAACATATTAATATATATAAATAATTTTGGTATAATTAATATAATTATTTATATATTAAAATAATAGTTAATAATATTCTTCCACAAACCTTACAGATGGCATATGGCAAGAGCACAAATGTGGCAGACCATTAGGATTGAAATTTGATAAGAAGGGCAATTTATACGTAATAGATGCTTATTATGGAATTTTCAAAGTAAATGTTGCAACTGGAGAGTACAAAAACATAGTGAACATTTCTAAACCGATCGACGGGAAATTTCCATTATTTCCTAATAGTATAGATATAACGGAGAATGGAGATCTTTATTGGACTGTTAGCAGTACAGACTTCGCTCTTTACGACATAGTGCAGTCGTTTTTTGCAAATCCATCGGGGAGGTAACGAAAAAATAGATATAATATAAAATAAGAATTATTAAAATAAGAATTATTTTATATTACGTATATACAAAATATATATATACACACACCCGCACACAATATTATTTTTCTCTTAATTTTTCTCTTGTATATGTAGGTTGTGTAGATGCATATATATATACAATTTTTTCCGTCTTTGTCCGAGATTAGTCATTGTCTCCTATAATCGAAACAAATTGTTTACTTTCACAAAGCTATAAATATTGCCGGCGGCTTGTGTAAAAAAATAAGATAAGGACGGGGATAAAATAAGGAGGGAGATAGAGCACATTTTATGAATTCGGCTAATTTGATTTTCGGCAATTAAAACTTGCGATTAGGCTCACTTGTATTCTTCTATTATTCTTATTATATTACAGTTATATTTTAGTTATATATATATATAAACATATATATATTTATACAGGCTTATACATTATAATGCAGCTAAAAAGAAGAACGAAGTATTGCTGGAAAATCTTGCATTTGCAAACGGAGTTATACTAAGTGACGACGAAAGTTTCATACTTGTGGCAGAAACGCTAGCATGCCGTATCATAAAGTACCATTTGAAAGGACCAAAAGCAGGTCAGCATGAGATCTTCATCGAGGGCTTGCCAGGTTCACCAGACAATCTTCATAGTGATGGTCAAGGTGGTTTCCTCGTGACTACAATTGTTATTATAGACTCTGAGCATCCTCAACTTAGTACCACTCTTGCACCACATCCATATTTAAGAAAAATGATTGTGCGATTGTTATTGATGATGGAATTACCATTTAAACTGTTGCATGATATTTATCCCAGTATCTTTACGGAGAAAGCTTTGCATGCAATTGGATCATATCATATCATGGGAAATCTATTTAATAATATTGACAAAAGTTTTGTATTGAGAATAGATGCATTGGGTAATATTATGGAAGTCCTTTTTTCGGACGATAACACAATCAGTGGTATTAGTGAAGCTTTTATACATAATGGCTTTGTATGGTTTGCCAGTCCATGGCGAAATTACCTCGCAAGAGTTCCGTTAAAACAAGCTTTCCCTGACCTAGCTAACAATGAAAAGCAATCTTCTTGTACAAGAAGTGAGAATGCTGCCGCTTCGAATGTAAAGTCAGAAAGAGCGAAGCGAGATACGATATCAACATTTGCACCAACTACATCTAAACCAACTCCCACTCCTACGACAACGCCTAAATCAATCGATGCTCCGACAACATCTAAGCCAACTACCATGTCAAAACCATCCTCAACTCCTAAAGTACATAAACCTACTACTACGCGCAATAATAATGCAAAATCGTCGGATGTTAAACCAACTTCGACATCTGCGAATGCTGAAGTAAAGAAGAAGAGTACAGAAACAGTTAGCGACGCAAAACTTAATACGAAATCAAATTCGCCGAATGCGAAATCCGAAACAGATAATAAAAATGAGGATGTTGGAAAGAAAAATATTAAATCTGGAAAGATTAAAGAAAAAGTACAGAAATCACTTCCTGAGAAGAGTAAACCGGTAGAAGCAAAACGTCCAAGAGACGATCTCTAATAAAAGAATAAATAAACGATGATGCATTGTGATACCATCAATACTTGTTGAAAAGGTACATTCCATTTTTCAGATATTTCAATGCAAAATAAGTTCATGGTTATAGATTATATCGATTTTTCATAGTAATTTGTTTTAAATACAATTATATCAAATTTGTTGTTATATTATATCCAAGTCATGTACGATTAATTATGTATGTACAAGATGATCGATTATCAATAATACAATCGGAAAGATAATTATCTTAATAATTTTATATTGAAAAATAATTTACTTGTAAGAATTTGTTTTACATACGAGATTCTGTTTTTAAGGAAATCAAAACTATCTTTGTCACACTTTTTTGTGATACCATAATTTTTAATTGCATTGCAACATAAATTATTCAATTTACATATTACATATTAGGATGTTAATTCGTATATATACAAAATCATATAAATAAAAGTTAAGGTTACATATATTACAAAATATATTAAGATTATCATTTTTTCAAGTAGTGTATTCTATTTTCATTTGCACACACACATATATATATATTCTGTTGATAAAAAGAAAGAAATCCGCTGTTGAATTAATGAGATCAATAAAAATCATACAAGTCTAACATTCAAATAAAGAAAATATTAAGATATAAAAGATTTTTAATAATTTTCCAATTTTTCAACTCAATTTTTTTAAAACAAATATAAATACATTTTGTTGTACTTTTTTTTAGATTTACTTTATGTGGAATCATTCCATTTTTCCGATTGTACTATCAACAATTATTTATCTTGTGTGCATTCCATAATGGAATGAAATAACGCAACAATACACTGGAAGATTTAACAGCTTTATTAAATGATTATAAGAATAAAAGTTTAAAAAATTCTTACATGTTAAAGAGTGATGTATAGATATAAAGTTGAAAGTATTGCTCTGACATATTTTCTTATATTTTCGACGATATATACTAATTTCATAGTATATATTAATTTTCATTTATATATCTGGATTGTGTATTCCCAGATTCTTATAATAATATATGAAAAGAATTATTTTTGTCTTTGTTTTGTTTTTTGTTCTTTTTTTTTTCGCGGCGTTAGTTGCTTTGTGAGCATTACTTCTATCTTTCGTCTTTCAATTTCAGACTCGAATATTAGGATTATATTAAAATAATTAAACCAGTAACATAAATCTATAAGAAAGAGTTAATAATATATTAAATTATCTAAGTTTTATTTTGCATTTCTATTTGTGCAATAAACAATCTTGAATTAAGTTTATGCTTATTATTTTTATATCTTCATTTACAATATATCGAAAATATTCACAAGAACACAATTTATGTAAGTTATGCATAACTGAATAAATCTCGGAATGATACTGATATATGATAAAGGACTGATAATGAATATTTTTGTTAAGTTGTGTGTGTGGGATGGCAAATATGAATTATAATAACTTTATTATATATGTTATATGGTGTCAGGTGTGAAATGTATGATAATTATAAGAATTCTATAGTTTAGCAAAATTATATAAATAAAAACAAATTTTTATCAAATTTGTATGAAACAAATTGTGATATTCAAAAAGAGAGCTCGAGGCAGAAAATTTAAAAAGAGATGTAAAAATTTATTTTTACTGGAATCTATAAACTTATGTTTTATCTGAATGTTAATATGAACATCCTCTTAATGAAACACGTTGAAAATTATTAAAATAATTTTTATTATAAAAAAAAAAACCTTAAGTATACACACAATATTCTTTTGAAGAAAATTGAAATGTGAGCTATTGAAATATATACCTATGATAAAAAATATATATATACATTTATTATCAAAAGCCAATACTTTTAAAGATCAAGCCATCTTACTATGTAAGTAGGTAACAACATCTTCATTTTATCAATTAAAAACATTTGCACTTTCCACAGAACTGTTGGCTGTTTAATAAAATACCAATATCCATTTCTTCTAAGTACTGCCCACTTTTGTGCACTTGTTAAAGATTTTTTGTATGCTAGTATAGGTTTATCCTTTAACTTTATCCAAGGTTCATGTATTGTACCTAGGCCTAATTTGATTAACTCCTCGCCAATCTTCAACGAGTCCTGTTTGCAGAAATAATGTGAGGATGCATAATCAGTTGAGTATAAATATTATATATACTCAACATATATACATATCTATGTAAAAATATTTTGGCTTCTCTTACTTGATCTTTCTGTGACATTGCAACTATACATTCCAGATATTGCTTTTCTTTGACTATAGGTATAAATGTTATATGTTTTCCACTGACTACACATTGCAACCAACTTATACCTAGAAGATTAACATATTACTTCTCGATAGCAGCTATAGATCATAATCGATTTGATACATACCATTACCCGTAATGTTAACGCCACTGATTTTTACAGGTAAATAATTATTATTAAAATTAAGAAAAGGCAATAAGGGTTGATGATTGACCATTAGTAGAGCACCATGACTCGGTTCCACACGCATTACAGTGCCTTGGAGTGGAACTCGTGATTGCAAGAAATGAGATGGGACATCGGACGGTTTCTTAAATTTTGCGAACTGAAAAATACCGATAGAAAGCAAGTGTGAGATTCGTAAGACAAGACACTGGCGATAGTGAGTACAGGGGAGAGAGAGAAATAGTTTATACTTACAGGTCTAATCCTGTATAGAGCAACGAATAAACCGGAGCTAGCGATCCCATAGGTAATCAGCTGGAAAGAGAAAAAGCAAGTAAGTGGCAATCATATGACAGCGCAGAGGGGAGAGGTTAGAAAGGTGTCATATATACCTTGCCCGGTCCCATTTCGTCCTCCATAAAAATCTGAAAACGTTCGAAAATTGTAGGTATTTTTTCGCGCGTCATAATTGACTCGATCTTATCAAGGAATGTCGTTCGTAATGTGTCCTCTGCGGTTGAATCAAAAATATTTGTACACACTGATCACGATCGTTCGGCCACGTTTACTATTACGATGAGTATCGCGTCCCATCGACCTTTTTTAAATTGAACATTATTATAGCCGAAACTTTTTTATAAATGCTGGTTATAAATAAACATTTACTATCTCATATCATATCTGAGCATATCAAAATTTATACGAAATTAAAGATTTCTGTTAGCTGATGACACTGTACATACACAATACCGTTTGCACTTAAAATGAAATAATGTATTCAGAAATCTCACAAAGAAAAGAAAAAAGATAAAAAAGCTTCAGAAAAGTGCAGCTAAAAAAAGAATAGGCTTGAGAAAAACGAATGTAATATATAATTATGTAATCACTTGCCGAATGCCGAAGTGATGTGTACATTCTTAAAATAATCGAAAGAGACTTGTTTATGGGCCTAAACCATCTTTTCTTCCCTCAGGATTATAATTCTATCCCATTCACACGTCAGCGAGCGGCTCAAAAAACCTGAAAAGGCTTATAACTTGACACGCGAGACGAGCACTGATCTCATCTTTCAAGAAACTCTTATATTTACTTACAGACTATATATACTTTAAATAACTTGTTATTATAATTAACATATTTGTGGTATGTTAAACCTTCTAATAGCTATATATTATTGTCACTTTCGTTTTATAGCAAAAAATTAAATATTAAGAACCCACTAAAAAAAGGAAGCGCTTCAGTCAATCGGACGTCGATTTATTATTACGTTGTATATTACGTATTATTATGTCGAAAACTCGATCGTAAAAAAAGATGTGACTTCACGCGCGCGAGATCGGACTCGCGCTCCAATTCCGCGCCGCTGTCCGGAGCGTGCGCCGAGAAGCGAGCGGAGTCGCGTGCGACATCAGCTCGTTCGGTTCCCCATTCGGTTCGAGAGACACGCGGTAAGACATCGATCGAGACACGACACGGCACTGCACGATCCCTTCGGAAGGACGGAAGAGAAGGCTCCCGCGGATGCTCGGCAATCGTGCCGTCGCATCCTCGCACCATCCAACGTACTGAGCGCGAATATGTTCCGGGACGGCCAATATCTGGAAGTGATCAAGGTACCGCGTGCAACAGCTGTCAACAGCTGGCTGTCAAACGTGCGCGCGCGCGCACTCCATCGCCGCGCGTACGAATTCGCACGAGAATGCGTGCAACATCTGTGAAGAGGGAACGATGAATTAGCGACGATATTCTTTATAATGTACTCTGTATTAGCGATACTTATCGATATCTTCGATCATTGAAAAATCGCCTGCCGCAACGAATGATGGGAGCATATGTATTTGTTACAGAAAATCGACAGATGTATTATAATTTATAATATTAAAATACTGTACTATTATTATGACAATTATTTTGATAATCGAGATATCGGGAATATACTGTTGACGCAGCACGGAATATCTATCATTAATTTTGCGTAACGATACGGCAATTTGTATCGAGTGTATATTCTTTTATAACGATGTATGTGTGTTCACAGGCTTCGGACGATTGTTTGGCAACCGCCGTGGTCACTGTGCAGGAAAAAACGGTGGAGATCGAGAAGCAGAAGGTCACCACTAACAAATGGCTGCAGGTCGAGGATTGGGCAGCGCTCTATAAGATATTGGAACGAGCGATCCTGCGAAACTATCGGGATGACAGATCACATCGCGAAAGCCAGGGTGAATGGAAAAAGTCCACTCGCCAGTTGGAAATCACGTAAGAAATGCAATATCGATTCAACGACTTCGGATTAATTGTTCTTTAGCGAGTTGATTACATCTTGTTAATTTTGTTAATCCAGATGTTCAATATATCTGCGAACAAAGTAGTTTTAATTAAATTATTAATTTTCCATCGTGAAGTGAACAATTTGTTAAAAAATCGAAAAAATACATTAAATATATTTCAACGACTTTGTTCTTTAGCGAGTTGATTACATCTTGTTAATTTTGTTAATCCAGATGTTCAATATATCTGCGAACAAAGTAGTTTTAGTAGTTTTAATAATTTTCCATCGTGAAGTGAACAATTTGTTAAAAAATCGAAAAAATACATTAAATATATATATATATA